ATGATGATGGTGGTGGTGGTGATGAGTGTACCAACGATACGGAGGCTAAACTAAGTACGTCGTACGAAAACTAAACTAGAAACTACGAACAAATAAACCTAGACTTAACGCACCCTCTGGGCAGGAGAATAAAACGAATTATCCTGAAACCGTGGTTCTATAAGGCATATTAAATACATTACATGACTTACGAATAGGTTTTGCAATCATAGTGCAAGTGGGCAGAAACTGTACGGAGTGGGGCGGAACGAGTATTTGGGCAGTCATAGTAACATAATAATATGAATGACCTTGAAACGTCAAAGATGTCAGTGCTCGAGTGAAAAGAATAAATATACGATCTGGTAACCGCTTGTAGGACAGTAAAGCAGTGTAAATGAGCAGAATAAATAGGGAATAGAGATACCGTGTCCTCATGTAATCAATCCAGGTTGGGGATACATCAAAGTTCCTCTTGGACTTTACAATGATGATGATGGATGATGATATTCCTTTCGACTGTGCGAACACACGCTCTTTGGGATCAAGAAGATTCTAGCCAACATTACTGCGCTTGCTGGTTCCTGCAACATAAGTCTCGTGTTAAACACGGCAAATACCGCCTCGTTTGCACACCGAAGCGCCGTCATCTTTATATTATATATCACCTTTCTTAAGAAGCACTTCGCCTATCTCCGCCACATTGATCTGTGCTACCAAGCCAAAGTCTTTCTCACCTGGCTCAACGGGTCTGCATTCAACCTTCTCCGGAATCTGAATGATATCCTTCCAGCATTCCAGGCTTGTTTCACGCAGACCCCCATTCGACTTGTACGTTTCCTTCTGATAGCCATACAGTACGCACTTCGCCCAATTTTTATGTTTCTTCCGGTACACGTTTTAGCCTAAGCATAATTGGACTTTTTAATGCCATTTTACTCAACTACCGGTTTGACCACCTTCCTTTCCTGCACCCATTTCAACGGGAAACTTCCGTATGATGGCTTCGAAGCGGATTTGTGCCTTCCGTAAGTTAATCAGCTCCCCTTTGAGGTTCATAGCTAGATCGAGCCGAAGGTCAAGCTTCAACCACTGGTCATCCATTGCCACCAGACTTTGAGTTACGCTGTCAAGCATCAAGTCAAACCACTTGCTTCCACCCACCAGGCCAAGGCGTATCTGGTGGAGACAGATGCAAATCGACCAATTCCATTCCTCCAGACATATGACCTCTGGGTAGTTGAAGGTGCTCCAATCCTACCAAAATAGAGCCATGTGTGTCCATCATCTCCAGACCAAATTGCAACCCAGCCGAGGTGGAATCCAGCAACGAGAGAGGAAGCCCCGCAGAGGGCTCAGGACTAGTCTTCGCCTTCCGCGCCCCTCCCTCATTCTCAGTCCGTGTACCTTTCTTCTCTTCAGGTTCCAACCCAATTTCCTCAGCGAATTCTTAATTCCCACTGCAGTGCGACAAGGCGGGGCTGATTCTTACTTCGCATAGACCTATCGTTTTTCCAGACCACGTGTGAACCATAGGTTTGCCTGCATAATTGACATACTGCATTCACTCTCAGTTCACTCACCTTACATTCTGAGGATATTTAACAAGCGTTCTTCATTTAACTGCACTGGGTGCCTACGCCGCTAGGCCCCTCTTGCTTCTAAAAGTGATATCGTACATACACACCCATTCTGTAGTTATCACTCTCAAATCATTCAAGCTTTCTCGACTCAAGTCAATACTCCCCACTCCTCCGGGTTCGGACTTTATAGATTTGCACTACTTGAGGTGATGCCAGATTTGCACCTACTTTGTTTGCTTGGAACCCACAAATTAGAGACCAATGTTTGAGCGAATTCACGCGCTCTCTCTGCTCTCTGAAAATGCTACCCTCAGTCGAGGTGCTTGCGGTCGAATATGCTATGTTGCGCTCTACCGCACCACCCTTCAGTCAATTTATTCCACTTTTGTTAAACTCCCCATTCTTCTTAATCACCCTTGCTTTCCGAGTCCACACACCGGGCGACTTTGGCGAATGTTCTCGCTCTATGGATAAGGAACTTAAGTCCCAGAGTACCTCGCTTAGTTGTACTGGCAAGCCTTTTCTAGCGCCCGTTCCCAACTCAAACCGGCGACTTTTAAGGTTCGGACGCTGATGCACATCGGATCACATGTCTTCACTTACTTGGGACTACTGCTGTTGCTGTCTGCTGCCTCACTGAAACCCGGTTACAGGACCCTAGCACAACGCTACTACTGGTTTCACCATCTGGGAGTTCCACTGGCATTTTATCACTGTTTATCTGGAGACGCAACCTCGGAACACGCTGGTCTTGCTGGCTTGGGGATCGCGTTGAGCACACTCGCTGAGGCCGCACTACTGGACTGCATTCCTGTCAACAGCCGACTCTGTACGATCCTAAATGAAGCCTCAGGGCCACTGTTCAGCTGCGGAGTCAGCAGACGTTGCTTGTTCGTTACAGCAGCGTACATTCCCACAGACTTTAGCCCGGAGTTAGTTAAACACGAGTTCTACTGTCAGCTCTTCGACCTTCTTCGAATAAAACGCCATGCGGACATCGTAGGGCTTTCCGGCGACTTAAAGCGCAACTCAGCAGACTTAAAGTTGAAGAGCATGAACTCAGTAGTCAATCTGCCTATTGTACTCGCAGAACCGACAGCAGTGATCACCTACTTCAACTTTGCGCCGATCACAGCCTCTTCCTCTCGAGCGCTAGCTTTTGGTGATTTTGGTATCAACTCGCCGCCTGGGCACTCTCATCAAACATCTCCACTGGGAGGACCACGAGGCCCGGTGAACGCAACGGATCAATGAGATGGAGCAAGCGACTACCTCGGGGTGCTTCCGAAAAGTTTTCATCCTGATCCGATCCACTGTCAGCAAAAAACCAACTATAAGTGAACTTTTGTGCAAAACGAATAGCGAGCCAATTCGCTGTCAACAACGTCGACTTGTGCGTTGGGTCGAGCATTTCGAACCGCAGTTTAACCGGCTAGCAGCACCGGCGGGTACTCACTCAAGAAACCAGCGTGCTGCCTGGTGTATAGACACTTCACCACCATCTGAAGCTGAGGTTGCTCGTGAACTTCGCCTCCTAAGGCGCTACAAAGCCAGTAGCCCAGACGAACTCGGCATCCTTCAGAGATGTAGGTTCATCCCTTGTTCAGGAGTTAACTTCCTTCCTCCAAGAGGTTTGCCTCACTCATACAATCCCGTCTGATGGGAGCCTAGCGGATTTCGTTTCTATCTTCAAAATTGGTGCGCGAACAAGCTGCACAGAGGGATTAGTCTCATCTGTGTTGCATCCACGGTGTTCGCCGCTCAACTTTTAAGGAGGCGCAGACAGAACATACACGAAGAGCAAGCTGAGTTCCGCTCTAGCCAACTTGTATGGATCACGTTTTGACGCTCCGCTTAATATTCGAGCCTCGTCAAACTTTTGGCCGGCTAACGATCGATGTCTTCTTACACACATGATCGGCGTTTTACTCATTTGACCGAGCTGCTCCCTGGGTTTGTCTGTCGAGAACGGGAGTGCCTGAGAAATACATCAACACTCTTCATGCTATCTACTCTCAGGCTGATTACGGGTGTACAACGGACTCCCCCCCCCCTCTAATATCATTAGTGGTATGAGACAGGGCTGCGCGACGTCACCCTTTCTGGTCACTTTTGCTGCGGACGACATCCTGGAGACTGGTCTGGAGAACTGCAAATCCAGCAGTATTGAGTTGCTTCCATCAGACCGACGTCGCGATTTGGAGTGTGCGGGCGACATCGCCGTCCAAAATGTGCTGTGTCGATGTTTATCTCCCAGCCTTGGATAATCTTCGCTCCATCGAAGTCTAAAGTATTCATGCAAGACTTGTTAGGACCTGTTCCTACCCTTAACTTTTCAGTTCATTCTCTGAATGTGATAGACAGGTTTGTTTATCTCGAAAGCATTATCAGCCCTAACATTTTAACGGGTCTCTTTGCGCGTCTCCGAAGCCCGGGTTGCTAATCTCCACCATCTCCGGCCTCGACGTGACCTCCGTCCCTGTAGAGTAGAGTCTACAATGCTCTCCTGTTCTACGGTTGTGAGACTTGGTCTGTTCGTGCGGACGTCCAGAGGCTGTCTGTCTGATCACTGCTGCTTACGGAGTATTGCTGGTGTACGATGGCAACATCACATTAATAATAAAGATGTTTGTCAAAGCATTTTCAGATCAGACAGAATTTGCCAGTTGCAGAGCCACATCATTTCTTTGCGCAGGCCTGGGTGATCTGGGCACATGCTTAGCATACCCACTGGGCGTTTGCTTCGCCGTACACACTTCGCGCGCAGTGGTCTGCTGGAAGCGAAGACAGTGTGACTAGCGAATGAATTGGTTCAAAAGTATGAAGGCGCTGCCCTTAAATTTGGCCGCGGTCGGGCACTCTCGGTCCCCTGGCTGGGGCTGCAAGGATCACGAGCGTCCATGGCTGGAAACCCTCTCGGGCATGACAAGAAAACTTGCACAATGTCGAACATGTTGTGAGACTGATCCCGTAATTACTGTTTTATGCTTTTTCTCTCTCTTCATTATCATAGTATTGTACTTATGCAAATGTGGCACTGTCACTTGTACTATTGCTTAAGTGCAAAATTTGTACAGTGAAACCTCCGTAATTTAACTACCCAAGGGTCTGGACCGAAATGATCAAAGTACAGAGGTTTACATGGGGAAATTTTAAGCTATGAAAAATAAAGCAGTCAACTTGGTGAGGTGCTCAGCATATCAAGGTGATCAAACTCGGAGGTTTTGCTATATATATATATATATATATATATATATATATATATATGGTTAGCGAACAGAAGGTCCGTCCACTTTTGAACTAAACTTGACTAGCCTGGAATGGTTACATCAATCTACTCAAGAGGCAATGTCATACCGAACAGTGGTGGACTACTTGACCAGCGCACACTCCACACTTCCTCATCATCCGCTAACTTTGTTTCTCTATTTTCTGTAGGTGGACTTGTGTGCTCACTTGGATTGCATTTTTGCGAGAGACACAATCTCTTCAAAACTCTCCGGCTGGATCGGTTGACCCTGATACGAACATTGGGTAAGTCTATCATCACTTCACTTTTTATCATCTACGCTTGGTGAGTATTGCTCACATATAATGAGTGCATCGAGTGTTTGACAGGAAGTACTGGTGCTTTACTGGATCATCTGCGAAATTTGAATTGCTTGCTCCTCAGGCCTTTTGGCTACCTTCCTCGACGTGCATTATGTGATATCGCTGCACTTCGTAGGGTATGACCACTATGTGACCAGTTGATTAAGTGACACAAGCTCATGAAGGAATTGATCACTAGACGTGATCATTTTGGTACGTTCCGTCTTTGTGCATTGGAGCGTCAGAATGGATCAGATCAGTAGTCGGAAACCTTACCGGACATGACGCAATCGCAAAGTCAGTGTTGGTTCTGCGTTCGGTGTTTCTGCATCTAGCTGTTACTTTTTCATCCCAGTTAACTTTACTTATTTTTCTTTATCATTCTGGTTAATTTTTGCTTTTCTGGCAACGCGAGTTGTGGCAACTACATGCGTTGCACTCCGGCGCCCGAAACATAGTTGTTTGACTGGACTGAATGCCACATGTAACGCTCATAATCGCTCGTTTCTTCTTCTAAATCTATTTACAACTCTTCAAACCTACGTTTCTCACGGAATGGGCGTACCTAATCGCGGCCTTAAAGCGATACGATGGTTTGTGTGCCTCAATGATCCATTGTGCTGTGCTGTGTAGTGATTTTTGCCCCTTAAGGGACACTATACCAGATTGCTCAATGATTAGAGGCCAGATAAAATCAGTCTCCTGATCCTCCAGTTTGAGTTCAATTGAGGTTGGATCCTTTCTCCGTGTAACGGACACTCTTTAGGCCAGTACCACAACCCCGCTACGTTGAGGTCAGGTTTTTGAACCAAAGGTTTTGGTTGAGAACCCGAATCGTTCTTCTGCTTAGGCCTGGGCAACCTGACAGTATCTTGTCCACACAGTACAATAAATTTCTCTTCAAACAATTTCCTGCTGCATCGAGCAGGTTGGATAAGGGTTTGGATGCTACTACTCAGACCTTTCCGTCCTCTTATTGCCCCTCTTGCACTTTTTAATCCTTATCGTTTCGCTCCCCACTGTTGTTCGCTCCGTCAATTCCTGGCCCTACCCCATCTTGCTTCAATAGGCATTTGGTTTCTAGCTTCAACTCACATGCAATCACAGGGCGTCGCTCTGGTCCAGTCAACAGGTCCATGTTCAACCAACCGGACGTCACTTCATCCAGTCCCATTTGGAGCCCTCGATTTTCCCTCACGTTTGCATTCTTCAACTTACCCATATTGTTACAGCTCGGTCAGCTGGTAACACTTTCCTGAACACTGGAGACCCCATCGATCGATATCTGCTGCTTATTGGAAACCCGCCTGCAAATTTAGAGCTCTGTTCTTACCCTGCGATCCCCCACATGCGACACTGGTGGCACATTCTCATTGCGCCTGTCTGGAGATGACGCAGCTTCAAGTGCCAGTCAAGCTGGCGTCGGCATTGTTTTGAGCCCTTGGGCTGAAGCTGACCTGTTTTTAATTGCATCCCAGTGAAAAGCCGAATGTGCGCCGTCAGATGGAAGAGATGGTAGTGAAAATAAATTCCCCAGTCACGAGAAAAAATTATGTATTCATAGACTAAGGACAACAGTCATCAATCTGTGCCACATAAACACTTGGTAAACGTGTCAACGGACGTTTTCACCCCATCTTAAGCCATCCTTTTTATGTTGTCTAAATGTTACTAGGCCCGTTCTCAAGCACCTACTTCTCCGCGTAACTGGCACGAAACAGTTCATTGTTGGGTCCTGTAGTGTCCACCGTGTGTCCGAATTACGACACGCACACTCGTTTGTAATCACGGGTTGCTTTGAAGTAAGCCTCTACCATTTCGATCACCGGAACTGCATCAGAAGTGGAGGGTTTCGGAGCTGCTGTCTCCTAACACTGCGCTCCACGACCGACCGGATTCGTCCTGATTTGACCTCTTCTGGTAGAGATAGCATGATCTGTGAGTGGAACTCGGCAGATAGTGGCTGGCGACTGTCGCCACGATCACTAGGCCGTTGAGCTACGCTAGCAGTAATTGGAAGTTGAATACTGGGTTTTGCAGTTCCCGCCTTGTGTCTTGCCTTGCGATACTCAACTGAGCCCACGGTTTGTCTTGAAGCAAACCTCTGCTATTTTGATCACGGGGACCGAATTCGAAACTCCACACCATAAAATAGTTTTTCACTATCTCAACAGTTGACTACTCACTTAGTTGAATTCTTGCTGTCTTTAGAAAATGGATTCTGATACCCTGAGGCAATCGGTTCTATAAAGCACGACGGCACCATCAGTACGCCGGTACGCAGTACCGACGCTTCGCTGCCGTGCAACCACCACCAATCGCACGGGGCTAAGAATCATGCGATGATCACCCGGTCCCTACGCAGGCTCAAACCTGCGCCCTCGGATTACAAGGCAGACTTGTGACCCTCAAGACTGCGCGCTGGTTCTATCGTATGGAATGTTTATACGTAAAGAAGGACAGATGTGTGCGATGACAGGTTGTTTTATCACATATTCTTTGCTCCTTATGTTATGCGGCCAAAGTTCTTGGAATGCCGGTCGCTATTGTGTCGTGTTGGTATTGTGTCATCAGTACCATTGCAATGACAAGAAGTGATTTATCTAGTGTTCAGAGAGTGTTATCAGACTAGTCACACGGCCATGAACCTAGGACGACGGCAACCGAAGATTAATAGCCAACCGTATTTTAGCACAAGAAGCCGGTCTAATGCATTACCGCCACTGCCTCAGCGAACCGCAAGAACGTGAATTAGTGGACCTAATAAACTCCGAAAACCGAGCCGGAATTAATCCACTGGTGGGTCACCGAAATGTGTCTTTCTGTGTCCCGTCATCGAATTAACCCTGGCTAGGTTTTACGGATTCTACTCTGTCGCCCAATTCACCTTCTTGCACTTCATCAAGACAGTGGCGATGAACGGGATAAGAGCAACCTTTTGTTTCAAACCGGTTACCTGCCAACCTTCAGTTGTCGTGGTCCTAAGGCCTTCGTCGCCGTTTTGGTGACGTCCTCTGGGCATTATACAACTCATTTACTGTTATTGTAAATAACATTGATGAGGTAATATGAAATCAGATAAGATCACCCTCAGACATTTAACGGCCACTTTCCTTATGCGCATCCGCTTTTTAGCACTTGTGTTATCTCGATCATTCGCTTAACACTATTCAACATGGCGCTTTCTTCTCCCTTGTGATGAGTGATTCTTAGGATTTTTTCATATGGAGTATACAGAACACTGTAAATATTTTGGACTTTTTCAAATCATTAACTACGGTCTTTACCTTGCATTCGTACTTTTGGTCCTCGAGACACAACTGCAGTATTTAACAGCATTGATTTACATTCTTGTAAACATGTTGGAAAGTACATTTTTTGGTTAACCGACCAGAAGAACTTATTGCATTCAAAAGTATTCACCAAAGTAGCATGGTTCATTCAGTTTACCCTACCAAGATTTGACAGTTATTTAAACTGAGCTTTAGGTGTATATGTAGAGTTCATTTTACAACTATTAACATTGTGGTTGCTACGGTGAAGATAGCCTACTATGCCTATAACAGCAACTATCGGACCAGAGGGGAGTACAAAATCTAGGGTTTGTAAAAGGTGCCACATGCTGCGCCCAGCCTTCCTCATACAGATTGGGTAACAGTTCTGTTTAGCGACACTTCCGGAACGTATCATTTCTCAAATTTGTTAACTGCTTTCCATTAAACCAATTTGCTGTGCATAAGTGGACGAATATCATCTATGCTCTTGGAACGTACGCCATCTGCTCTGCTTGGATGCATGGCCTCATTTTATCTACGCAACGCCTCCGGTTCAATGGAGTGCTTTATCATGTTCCATCTTGTTTTCCGTAGATCGTCTACCCCCGGGTACTGTGCATTGTCGGATGAGCCCTTACATTGGCGAGCCGCCGATTCGAATCACGTGGGTAACAATTGGTCGGTAGACATAATTGGGCAAATACATACTGAATTCCTGCATGGTGACCCCGGGGCAGTTGACTCAGTTGCTGAGGATGTTACCTGACATGGCTCTGTTACATCCGGTCTCCTTTTCTTCGCTTTCTTTTCGACACTTCCTTCCTTTTCATCTCTTTACTGGATCGTTTCCCTATCGCTTCTTTTGTATTTTCTGCTATTTTTCCTTCCTTAATCACTCGTGCGAGTCGTCGCAGCTGCCGCTATCCGATACCTCTTCACTGAAAGCTTAAAGGATAGATGGGAGGATTTTGGCAACCATATGTCCTGCTTATTTTACTGTATACGATAGTCGCGTGATGGAAGTTACCATGAATGTTTAGATGAATCTGTTGCCTCACACACTACACCTTCTCACCCACTAGCGCTCCACTCTGGTTGAAGCAGGTCACGTGCTCAGTTTGCTTTTGTGTTGACTACCTATTACTTTAGAACGAACAAGGTGTTACTTCGATTGTGATCTTTGTTTTCTCATCATGTTCTCATCACTCAACCATTTGCCAAGCTTTGTCCTTCCCATCCTTGCTAGTCCGTTCATCGCATCAACATTGCTATCCTGATTTTACATTCTTTTGGAGATCGCCATGCTCCGTAAGCTCCCATTCTCCTTCTTTGCTTCTTATGGGATCAGGGTTTGTGTTTTAAGTTATTTGACCCTATGTATGTATTCTTCCTACTTCTTACTCAGATGCTCAGCCGCTTGATATCTGCTTTTGCATTGGTGCCAAGTATGTGTCCGTTTCGCCATTTTTTATTGCAGGTGAAATCTGCGCTCTATATTCTGCCAACTATAGTAGGATTGTCTATGCGCAGCGACAGTGCTGGCTTTGTTCCGTAACTTCTCTGTCACTGAGTGTATGTATGTGAACCTCCGTTCAGTGTGGAGATTGAAACTAGTGTTTTCATCCGTTCCGACACTGCGACAAATTTGCTCTCCTTGACAAATGTGTT